TCAATTCCTAGTGCATAGCTATAGGCTCAACATGGAAAAGGTTAAGGGATTCAACTTCGGATGAGGTAGGTTCAGGTTCATGAGATAAAGGTGTAATTTTAAGAGATGTAGTTTTGTGGGGTGGTTTAATTGTAGACTTAGCTACCTTTGTAGACTTCCTTCTTTTGAAAATTTTAATCTTAGTTGCCATTGTTTTTCTTCCTCAGCTTGAAGGTTTTGTAGGCGTTGATTTATATGCGACTATTTTCGCGTCTTCTTGAGCTTTCTTTACTTCATTTTCTTCTTGTTCAACTTCAGTCACTTTTTCCTATTTAGCCTCACTTTTCCTTTCTTGCTCTGTTTCCTTATTAGTGTCTTTTTCTACTTTAACTTCATTAGCTATCTTATCACCTTGCTTCTCATTTTCAAGTGTTGGTGTAGGAACCTTGAGAGGATTTATATCAATACTTTCCTTTTCAATTCCACCCTCAAGGTTAAAGTATGTGCCTCAAATTTCTTTATGGCAATCATCTTAACTAAAGATGTAGAAATTTCAACTACAACTTTACCTTTGGAAGAGGTAGTTGTAGGAGTTTTAGTATCCATGTCCTTATCTTTTTCCTTGAGAAGTGAAGTCTCAATATTTTGAAGCCTTTCTTCAATTTTCAGAATTTTCTCTTCCAATTTCCTATCCCTTTTAGCTTGTTCAATCAATTTTCCATATATTCTTATCAACAAATCAAACATCATTTCATTGGAAACAAGAGGCTCATTTGCTCTTGAAGGGGGTGTTAAAGGAGTTTTAGCATTAGGTGTTGTTGGTGTACCTTTAAGGAATTTAATACACTCTTGACCTACCAACTTGTACCCCATCTTAAGCAAGTATCCTTAAAAATCCTAATCCTTGCTTTTAGTCTTGTCTTCTTGAAATCTAGCGCTCTTGATATTTTTCTTTTTAACCAAAGAGGAAATTATATTTCCATAGGATAGGTTATTCTTATCTCTCAAACATGTTTCCTTCATTCTTTTGATCATAAATTTGGCTACATTGAAGCGGATTTCATTAAGTAATCTCCATTAACCAATGATCTTGGGAGTTGACATAAATGTAGCTATTGTTTTTTCCATGAAGACTAGATGTAATGAAGTAGTGGAAGTTTCTCATTTGTGCATTTTAACGTTACTTGCATAACTCTTGGAGGGAAATTTCTCTTTTCTACTAGTGAGAATTTTCCAAATGGGAAATAAGTCATAAATTTCTGGAATCTTAAACTCTTCAACCTGGTACTTTGTTTTCAACAATTTTCCTATATCGGCAGTAGTAACTTTAAATTCCTTTTATTAAAATATACATTCAATCCATCTTCTACAAAGTCATTAGGATTCTTTAATTCATATCTTCCTAAGGCAATGCTTGAACAAAATTCCTTAACCAAGGTTAGGCAGAAGTATCTATCTCTAAAGGAGCCTAACCCCTTTATTTTCAATTCATTAAAATATCCAGACAAAGCATATTTAACCATAAGAGCCTCATCAAAACTAGGCCAATTAAAAAAAAAACCTTCTCACAAGATATAGTTGCATTTTTAATCTTTTTAAATCTATTGGCATGGGACTTGTTCTTAAACTGAGAGGTTTAAAGATTACTTATCCCTAGAGAAATTCCTTTAGTTTTGGGTTCTTTTGTTTTTGGCCCTTTTTGTTTCAGACTTGAGCTCTTCTTTTAAGTTGGAGGAGTTGCATTTTCCTTAGCAGGTCCTTTTCCCTTTCTTTTGTCAAAGACCTTGCTTGTCTATGAGAGTTTTACCATGGATTTGGTGGATTTAGGGAGTTAGGGTTTCTCTAGTACTTTAGGAGTAGATAGAGGCAAAGTGTGGAAAGAACATCTAGGTTTTAGATCTTAAATCTAGAGACAGAATGTCAATTTCTAAGAGAATGGAGGGACTTTGATTATGGATAATAATTGGTTAACCATGTTTTAAGGGGTTGGTTCCCATTTCCTCTCCTCTTCCTCTTTTTTTTTTGAAGTTTCAAACTTATCGTCTAATGGTTCTCATTCCCTCTCTTGTTTTTGGCTTTCTCAAACTCCTTGGAACTTCTCTATGTCATTTATGACCATTGGAAAGGTTTTAAATACTTGAAAAATCACTTTTGGTCATTGGAGATAGGAACTAATCGTTACAAACAATTTCTAGCCATTATTTTATCCTTTTGTGCTTATATTCAAATGTGTAGATAGTGCTTCATTAACCGATTAAAGATAGGCTTTAACTGATTAAGCCTTTCTTGACTTGCAATGTTTGACAATTCTCTTCATTATGTTAATCGGTTAGAGGAAACTTTAACCGATTAAGAAATTTTGAAACATCGTCAATCACTGCTTTTGACCAGCCTTTTTTCAACTGATTAATGCTCTCTTTAATTGATTGACCCTTCTCTCCCTTCATCTTGAACTTATTAAAATGGGCTTCAGTCAATTAAGAAATCTTTAAATTTAAATTTCTTTATTTGGCACCCTTTAACAGTCATTATTACTTTGAATTTGAATTTGGCACTTCTATGTACTTCAAGCTTAACCTTTAACCAATTAACCCCTTTAGTTAATCGGTTAACAACTTTCTGTTTTGCATCCAGTACCTCATTAATTAGTTAAGTCTTGGGTTATTTGATTAGGGCTTTTCTGTTTTCCTTTAAGTGTAACACCCAGCTTTGCCTTAACTAATTAAAGTTTCAAGTTAATTAGTTAACAATATTCTATTTTCACTATATTTTCTTCTTTGCTTATTTAACTAATTAATTCATTCTTGTAACATAACAAGCTTCTTGGCTTGCTTTCAATCAACCATTCTATTAAGGGACCTAAACTTTGTCGTGTATACTTAAATAATGTAATTAGATATTAATCAATAAAGAAGGTTTTATTATCCTAAAAAACTTATGGAGTCAACAATAGTATTTCTACTAATGTTATCATGTATCGTTTTCAAAATATGAAAAATTATCGTGGACAATTATAGTTATCTTATATACTTTTACTTTAAAATATTAAATAAATGTATTGAATTTACATTTTCTTTAACTTAATGTTAAAACTTTTAATGTATGAATTTTAACATATTTATATTTTTATTATTATTATTATTTTAATTATAACACCACTTAGAAAAATTCCTAAAGCCATCTTTACTTGTGGTGCACATATTCCAAAAGATGACCCATCATCACCATCTCATTCTTTATGAGAAATTCTTGAGGATTCTAAACATAGTAACTATTCAAAGAACCTACACTGACGTGGTGCATAATTATTTTCTTTGGTAAGATATATTATCCACCACTTTCGATCATGGTTGAAATAGTAAGTTAAAGTAAGAGCAGAAGTGAGTATCACAAGTTCAAGCTCTGCTATTTGAAGAAATTTTTTCAATTGTAATCGTCAGCCAGCCGGCTGGACACATCTCAAACACGTTACGTAAAACTGAATTGAGAAATGACACGAGCTCAAGAAACATGATCATAGGTTTGGCGTTTACGTTGTTATTATCTATTTAATTGATAATAAACAAGGGGCAACGATGAGCATATTCCAGAGACTAGATGAGAAGCGTTGAAAACGATGCATGGATTGGATTGGTTGTGGTGTCGACAGAATAAAAACGTTTTCAAGCAAGGTCGCATGTTTTCCGTGGATGTGGTCGTTCGTACCTTTCCTGTACAGCCGGAACCATGGCCCATAAGAACAACCTTAGCCTTGACGGTACGGCTCTGCCTAGTTGCCTTTAATCGAGTCAACGCAGTTTGTCCTCTTACTGATTTTCTACTTGGTATTGGCCCAACCCATTCTTTCTTCCCCTCCCCGCAGTGCACATCATGTTGTATTCTATATGGAGCGGTGCCGATTGCCAATTGTCAA